TGTGTCAAATGAAGGGAGGCTTTGGGAGGAGCTTTTCACTTTAGCCTCTAGGCCTCTAATCAGAGACACGGAAGCATCGGCAGGTACTGATGAAGTATGACTAGCAAAGCTGAAGCAATTCCTATGATGATGATGAGTCTCCTGGTGATAAAAGTTTATCCTGGGCAAGCATAATGAAGATGATGGATCTGAAACCAATCAGAGCAGCTGGTGGCAAATGAAGAGATGGCTTCTTCTTGATTAATTGAATGGCATTTTGTTTTCTCTTCAAATGTTTCTCCTTCTGTTTCTCTTCCTTCAGCTTTTCAGTCTTTTTATTTCCTTCTCCAGCTCCTTCCTCCACTTTATCAGATCTTTCTGCTTGAGTCCTTCTAAAATCTTTCTTCAGTTGTAGTCCTTCCTCCTAAAGTTTCCCTTATATAAATGCGTAAATCAACTAGATAAAGACTATAAAGTGCTAGACAGAGTTGTTTTCAGGACAGTCACTCCTCTTCTAGCTCTATTCTTGACTTTCCAGACTTCTCCACCATGCCCCAGTAGGAGTAACTTTCTGCCTCCTGCTTTTCAGGTGCCTTTTATGTATTCCCCATTAGAATGTAAACTCCTTGAGGGCAGGCACTATCTTTTTTTTTTGCTTGTATTTGTATTCTTAGTACTTAGCACAGTGCCTGGCACACAGTAAGTGTTTTAATCAATGCTTACTGATTTAATCTAACCCTTAGAAGCAAATGAACAAGCCTTTGTAGGATGATTCATACCTTTAGAGAAAGGCGAAGCAGGGGGTAAGCTAATAAGTTATTTTTTCTAGGCAGATCTTTTATTAAAATGTTGCCTTAGCTATCCGTTCCACCTGACCAGATGGGAAGGAGTGGGAAGAAGAATTTGCTTTTGTTTAGCTGCCCAACCAATTTATGATTTCACTCCAAACTAGAAGCAGATGTAGAAGAATTTAAAAAGTAGTCATCATATTTCCCACTGCCTTGGTGCCAGGTCTAGTTGTTAATTTGCGCTCAATGGATAGGTGAGTAGGGTAGACAGAGATTCAGCAAAGAGCAGTATCTAAAAGTTCTCCCAAAAGCCCAAGGGAGAGGGAATAAGGGAAGAGGTCAGACCAAGGAGGAAAGAGTAGTATAAAGAAGAATCAGGGCAGCTAGGTGACACAATTGATAGAGCACCAGCTCTGGAGTTAGGAGGACCTGAGTTCAAATCTGGACTCAGACACTTGACACTTATTAGCTGTATGACCCTGGGCAAGTCACTTAACCCCAATTGCCTTGGGGGGGGCGGGGAAGAAGAATCAAGGTACAGGGATTTAGTAATCCTCAATTATGTATAAAAAAAATTTAAGAGTAAAAGGAATAATTTAAGCTTGGAATAAGCCACAGCAACATGACAGCATAAATGTGCCAATAAACACAGGGGCAATAATTTCTACACAGGAATTTCGATGTGCAAAGCCAAAACAGAATGGCGTTATATGAAATAACAGGAAACAGGTAGCCAAAAGATGTGAGACACATGAAATCACCAGAGAAATCCCTGAGAGAAACTGGTAACCACAATTGGCTACTGAACATTATCAAGTAGTGCTATGTATAGAGAAATCAATAAGGAAAATAAATAACAATAGCAGCAGCTCCCATTTCTCTAGTATTTCAAAGTTCACAAAGCATTCTGGACTGAGAGACAGTCTAGACTAGTCTAGTGAATAAAAGAAGCTGCTTTGGAGTCAAGAACTGGTTTCAGACACTGCCCCCTGACTAAACTAGCTTTCTGACCTCATTTAACCCCTCCGTGCTAAATCAGGTTAAGCGATAACTGACAGCTCTCAAACTGTGCATGTGAGTTAGGGGGTGTCTACCCCAAGCATGTGAAAACTTTCCCTAGCAAAATGGGCAGATGACAACAATTTGTTCCAAGAGCCATGAGGTCAGCTGCAGTAGGCACTGTGGGGCACTTAGAGAGCTTGGTAAGACACTGAAGACACCAAGGTCATCCACTGCATCCCAGGCCATTGCCATTTGTCCTGACTTTTGTCTTGCCACTGGACTTTAACGTCTCTGAAAGAGAGAGTAAGGCCAATGACTTTGTGCAACTCTACCTCACTAAAATCCAATTCACATGCAAGTCAAGATGTCCCTGTGATATTATTGGTCCTCTCTGAAAACAAAGGACAAACAATAACCTGGGGCAGTTATTTCAAAAAGGCCTACAACTATTACATGGAGCCAGGCAAAAAGAAACAACAAAACAAAAACAAAGGAACCAGCCAACTGTGAGCTGATAAACCACAAATGAATAATACCCCAAAGCACATTTCTGTAAACCAAAGGATAACACGTAATTATTTCATGCCTTGTAATCTATGCTGAATGATCACTATGTAAAAGATGATCTATAAACATGGAAACACAGAAACTTGAGGAGAAAGAGAGCACTAACAACTGTAAGCACCAGGATGATGGGGACCCCCAGCAGTCCTCTTCATCCCTGTCATTCCCTTCCTACTCCACGTTGGTACCTCAGTGACCCTAGATAGGAGATAGCTAGCTGATATTCAACAAATTCAATGGCCTTGGACACAAAGTATTATCTGGAGGATTCCTTACCAGGATAAACAAATAAGACACTTCATTTCAATTCAGGCCAGAATTGGAGCCCCCAGGAATCACTATGATAGAATCCAGAAGCAGGATTCAGGAAGCAGACATACAGGCCTGGCCCATCTGGAAGAACCCTGATTGCTGGGGCTGCCCATTCTACGTTTCCTAGCAAGCTCACATTGGTCAACAGCCAAATCTCAGAAGCCTGGTCAGAGCCAGAGAGCACTGGGCTGACATAATTCATCAAGCACTTATAAAGCAACTTCCATATGCAATGAACTGGAAATCCCAAGACAAAAATCCTAAAAAGCCTCTCTGCCCTCGAGGAGTTCGGGAGGACACAACATGTACACAGGTAAGTACACACGAGATAACCTGAGGAGAAAGAGAGCGCTAACAACTGGAAGCATCAAAAAGACTTCCCATAGCAGAAGGTTTAAGTTCAGCCTTGAAGAAAGCCAAGGATTGTAACTGATTGAGATGAGGAAGTTCATTTTAGGTACAAAGGACAGCCTGTACAAAGAAAGGGAAGCAGAAAATAGGTCAACACAAAGGAAATATGGCATTTTGGCTGGAATGTAGAGGGAATGAAGAGGAGTGATACGAAATAAGCCTGGAAAGGTAGGCTACAGCCACAAGATATAAGATTCAAACCAGGACTTCATTTGCCCCTAATCCAGATGAATAAATACAGGTAAAGGGCCAGGCATATCTGGACAACTAACTTTCTGGCATTACTTTCAGCCAGCAACAACAAAGAAAGCAAACTCCTGGTATCATGGCAGCTAACAGCATGCCTCCTAGAATTGTGGAATTGTAAGGGACTCTAAATCTGTGTCAGCCGACTGCATTTAGGCAGGTGAGAACCCTCAGTGACAGCCGTCTCTGCCACCCCTCCCACATAGATATATGTGTGTGTGTGTGTGTGTGTGTGTGTGTGTACATATATATAGATAGATAGATAGATAGATATAGATATATATCTATATACATATATATGTGTACACACACACACGTGTGTGTGTGTGTGTGTGTGTGTGTGTGTGTGTGTGTGTGTGTGTGTGTGTATCTGCTGCTGTTCAGTCATTCCTGACTCTTTGCAACCCCATGGACCACTGCTTACCCACAGTGTCAATGGGGTTTTCTCGGCAAAGATACTGGAGTGGTCTGACATTTCCTTCTGCTGTGGATTAAGGGAAACAGAAGCGAAGTGACTTGCCCAGGGTCACTCAGCTATTAAGTGTCTGAGAGCAAATTTGAACTCAGGTCTTCCTGACTCCAGGCCAGTATTCTATCCATTGAGCCACCTAGCTGCCTCTGCCCTCTGCCTCCTATACATACACACACACACACACACACACACACACACACATGCACACGCCTCCTTTTGCTCTATTTTTTTGGTCAATTTAAAGGTGAACAGTTTGTAAATACTAATCTGTGATAAGTCAGATGGATAATCATGAAACTTAACCAAAGGGCTTATGAGGTATGTAAAGGGGGAAAGGAAAAGAAAGGATACAGAAGTGTAAACAAAAAAAAAGTGAGTTAAATATGAGATAGAAGCCTAAGATCATGACAATTCATCAACTAAAATCAAACACAAAGTACTTAATTATCACCTCATATGTGCCAAGCAGAGTGGGGAAAACCTGAGGCAGCTAAATGGTACAGTGGTTAGAGTGCTGGGCCTCGAGTCAGACTTGAGTTCAAAGATGGCCTCAGACACTTACTAGTTGTGTGACCCTGGGCAAGTCACTTAACTTTTGTCCACCTTAGTTTCCACATCTGTAAAATGAGGATGATAATAATAATACCTTCCTCACAAAGCTGTTGTGAGAATCAAATAATATTTGTAAAATGCTTAGCACAGTGCCTGCTACATAGCAAGTATGGAATAACTGCTTGTTCTCTCCCTACTATATAATCTCTGCCCTCAAGAAGTTTACATGTGAGTCATGAATGGCCTTGAATTCAACGACTTCTTGAGGTCCTTTCTGCGCTATTTTTTTTCATTTTACTACTGTGATTACGGCTACTTCCAAAGGAGGTCCCAGAAACGATATCTGGCATTTTATCACGTCTTGGGTGGTTTTGAAAGCTAGCAGAATGTTTCCCCGTGGGGTAACAGAGTCTTACCAATAAGCTCCAAACTTAGAAACTGGATGATACAATGTTGCAGGAACCTTGGGAAACCACCAGGAATATGATTTCATCATACATTATTTATTTAATTTCTCAAATAGAAAAAGAATGGAGATAAAACATTCTTCTGAAGCACCAAAACTCTGAAAAGAATTTCTCTTAATGACACACTAACACATCTAACACACTAAAAGTGGCAGCACTCAATATCACTCTGTTGAATGAAGGGAAGTTGTAATAAAACCTCTTTACCTTAATGGTTTTTGACTGGAGTCTCAGGCCATTCAGTGTGTTTATTGCTCTTTCGGCATCTTTTGCAGTCACGTAATTCACAAAGCCATAGCCTAAGCTGTGTCCTGCATGGAAGAACATATATAATGTTTTAAATGAACCGCCACCACCAACACATCCCAATGTTTGTTTTTTGCAAAGATGTCGGTTATGTTAGAAATCTCCCTCTATAACTAAAGACCACCCCGAAACATCAAAGATTTAGTCACTTTTTCACTAATTATGCCTAGCAGACCTGGGCAAGTACCATGAAGCTGTTAGAATTGTGTGAGGGACTATAGGATACCTGAAACCAGGATCCCACTTCCAAGCATATAAATCACTAACTTAAATGCTTCATCTTTTTAGCTCAGGTTAACTCAAGCAACTGTAGATAATAAGAAAAACTGTAAGACCACAGAGATATGAACATTATTAACGATAAACCAGAGGCTATATCTATGCCGTTCATGAAGAAGAGAAGCCAGGGGCAAGGCGCGGGCACCATGCCATGGCATCATTCTTATCACTCTCATTCTTTGGGGGACAAATTGGAGGGGAGTTGTGAACTTTGATTTATCTTTCATAAGACTATGCAATCTGTTTCACTCCTCTTGGGCCAGCATCCATGGACAAATTGGATCCCTTGGGGCAAAAGGCTGGTTTTCTTTTTGTTAACCTATCCATACAGTGACCTGGAGGCATAACTCTCAGTGGACAAGGAAGATGAAGTTACTTACCTGATGCTCCGTTTCTTTGAATATGAAAACACTAGATGTCCAGTGACAACAGAACTATCTCTGAAAAGAGCTGCTTTTGGCTGGCTTGCAGGTTATTTCCATTATGCTGGACCTGGGCACTCCCTAAGCCACGCCTAAAGGGGCAACCTCAGCTTCCCAAGCCTCAAGAAAACTAAGACGACCTGGTTAACAGGACAGCAACCATGACGGTAATCATAGTCTACTACAGAAGAAGATCCAGGAAAACACCAAGCTCCCAGCCCAATTGCTCCTTTGTACCCATACTGTAACTCACCACCCTGATGTGGAAGACAGGCCTCAGGGCGGAGCAGATACGACACTGGACTGAAGAATGATGGAAGGCCTGGCTTAAAACCCTGCTCTAGATACTTTTTAATCAGATGACACTGGGCTACTTACTTAGCCTCTTTATGCCTCATTTTCCTCATCCATGAAATGAGAGTGTCAGGACTTGCTGGCCTCTGTGGTGTCTTCCAGTTGTAGATTTATGATCCTAGGAGCTCTCCATCCTTACATTCAAGGAAATGGAGTTACCATAAATAAACTAACACCCTCTTTTGGAATGGATTACACATTGGATGTTAACAATAGGTGACATATCTGGACCTGGGACACTGACCTTGTAGGAGGAGACCTATCAAAACGTTATTACCTTCTGGTGCCTAGATAAAAAACTTGATCTCCCAGGTGTTGAAGGAGATCCACATCACTGACTTTGTTCTTCTCAGCTCAGCAGCTTTTCCTGAAGTCATAGGTGAAATGGCACTTTCCCTACTCCAATTAGTCCCAATGAGAGCAAAGCCATAGAATAAGAGATTCTTCCAACTTGGAAAAATCCTAGAAATCCCTTAATCCAACTTCTCATGCACTATAGGAATCTCTTCTTCGGTATCCCTCAAAGATGGTCATCAAGCCTCTACTCAAAGAGCAAAGTGTTTCAACGGACAGCTCCAGTTGCCAGAGAGCTCAAAGAATCTAGAGTTGACATAGAGCTTAGAAGTAAACAATTTCTAACAAATAAATGTACACACTCATACCCACACAATTACCATTCCTTCTTAAGTTGAGCCCAAAGCTAACTCCATGTAACTCTGACCAACTGATTTTAATGATGTAGCTTACTGTTTCAAAACAGAATAAGCAATCAAAAAACTGATTCACAAAAGACTGTTTTGCAACTGGCCCAGAACTAGTTCATGCACTGCCAGCAGATCATCCTAAGGATACTCAAGAACTGGGAAAGGTGATTTTTATCCCTACAGTTCAAATGAAGTTGGGAATAAAAAGTAAGGAGTGTTGCTGGAAGTGAAGAACAAGCTAAGGAAGATGATATTGTGATGGGTAAAGAATTGAGAGATCACTTTACAGAAAAATTGTGCAATGGCCTTTGGAATCATTCTATCCCCACGAACTGCAGGATGGCGGGGAAGAAAGACAGAAAACATGCTAACAGCAGTCTGAAATCACTGTAGGGGCAAGGAACACATTTTCACTCTTCTTTCCCCAGTAGAAATGTTGAGAATACGAATTGTGTTGGTGGTGGCGGCACCTGGATCCTGGATGGTGGCTCAGGATCGACAAGGTCAGACTTCTCATATGTTAAGAAGTCTGATCTAGATTGAGCCATCCTCTGCTTTTTTGTAAAGATCTATCTTTCACTTCCTGGGGGGACTGGTTACGACAGCTGACAGTGAAATCCTTGAAGAAGAAGGGGAACAAATATGAGTACACAGAGGGACAGTAAAATCTTCGAGTTAGGGATGGGAAACCACAGCTGGCTGAGTTCTTCATGCTGTAAATTCTGGTAAAAACAAATTTCTGCCCCAAAAGGGGCATGATGATGGTAACTGACTCCTTGAGGAACTACCAGGGAAATGATATATGGGCTACGTGCTTATGTATCCAAGCACCTTTCTTCCTGTATCCAAGAATTAATCCTCAATCACTTCAATCTTTCTTCAGTTTTTTTTCATGGAAGGAGAACTGACAAAGCACAGTTCTTAATTCTAATACCTTTCCCTTATCAGAACTCAAGAGGCCAGTGTGAATGAGTCCAACCCAGGATACCTGATAGTGTACTGTCCTTGGGAAAGAAGTTATCTCTAAAACACCTAGGTCCAGGAAAATATCAGATGATATCCTTTCTCCAGAAAAAGCTAGGAATCAAGGAAGCTCAGAGTCAGAGCCTCAACCACTGTATAGTTAAAAAGGCACTTTAGTGGTGTCAAACTCAAGCAGAAATAGGGCCACTAATCTGTACATAAGGATCCCTGGGGGCTGCATATTGACTTAGTTTTAAACTGTAATGTTATCTCTGTTTTATTGCATTTTTATTCATTTTGTTAAATACTTCCCAACTATATTTTAATCTGGTTTGGACCTCACTAGGGAGTGTTGCCCTGGGCAAGTCAATTAACTTCTATCTGCACAAAACTGGAAGGAATTGGCCAACCACTCCAGTATCTGTGCCAAGAAATCTCCATGGACAGTTGGTCCACAGGGTCACAAGGAGCAGGACACAACTGCACAACAAGAAGGGAGTATTGGAGATAGGTTGCATGTTTGATACTCTGCTTTGGATCATAGCATGAAATCCTCATTGGCAGTTGAAAATAAGACTAAGAGACTTCTCGTTCTCCTTTCACGTAAACACTCACAAACATAACGGACCATCTGTTACCTGGGAACCTGCACTACTAAGTGAGTAGGCATCTGTACGTACAGAGTCCACTCATTTCAGTACATTAATTTATTACAACATTCAGAATCTTAAAAACAGAGTTTAGCATTTGATTATCATCTTGTATTGCTTCATGTGGTTTGTCTGGTCTTTCCTCACCTAAACTGTAAATTTGAGAACAGGAAACCAATGTACAGTAAGAATTCAATACAGGCAGCCTCTTTCTTAAATAGGTTGTACCCCAAAATTCATTTCTAAGTGAGTTCTCTAGAACGCAGAATACATCTTTGTATAGAAACAATGGGAGCTTAAGCTTCAATACAAAAGCCAATTTAATAATGTAGTCAATCTTTTTGTGGTGGCAAAGAATTGGAAATTGAGAAGATACTCATCAGTTGGGGAATGGCTGAACAAATTGTGGTATATGATTGTGATGGAATACTACTGTGCCACAAGAAATGACAAGCAGGTAAGAAATAGGGAGGTGGATCAGTGGAACAGGTTAAATATGCAAGACACAGTAGTCAATGACTATAGTAATCTATTATTTGATAAACCCAAAGACCCCAGCTTCTGGGATAAGAACCCACTCTTTGAAAAAAACTGCTGGGAAAACTGGAAAAGAGTATGGCAGAAACCAGGCATAGACCCAAATCTCACACCATATACCAAAATAAAGTCAAAATGGGTTCAGGACTTAGATATAAAGGCTGATACCATAAGTAAACTGGGAGAACAAGGAATAGTTTACCTATCAGATCTATGGAGAACAAAAGAATTCATGACCAAACAGGAGATAGAGAACATTATGAAAAGCAAAATGGATAATTTTGATTACATTAAATTGAAAAGTTTTGCACAAACAAAGCCAATGCAACTAAGATTAGAAGGAAGGTAGAAAATTGGGAAAGAATTTTTACAACCAGTCTTTCTGATAAAGGCCTCATTTCTAAAATATATAGAGAATTAAGACAAATTTATAAGAACACAAGCCATTCCCCAATTGATAAATGGTCAAAGGATATGAACAGACAGTTCTCAGATGAAGAAATTAAAGCCATCTATAGTCATATGAAAAAATGCTCTAAATTGTTATTGATTAGAGAAATGCAAATCAAAACAACTCTGAGGTACCACATCACACCTATCAGATTGGCCAACATGACAAAACAGGAAAATGATAAATGTTGGAGAGGATGTGGGAAAATTGGAACGCTAATACATTGCTGGTGGAGTTGTGAAATCATCCAACCATTTTGGAGAACAATTTGGAACTATGCCCAAAGGGATACAAAAATGTGCATACCCTTTGATCCAGCAATAGCACTTCTAGGGCTATATCCCAAAGAGATCAAACAAATGGGAAAAGGACCCACATGTACAAAAATATACATAGCAGCTCTTTTTGTGGTGGCAAAGAACTGGAAATTGAGAGGATGCCCATCAGTTGGGGAATGGCTGAGCAAGTTGTGGTATATGAATGTAATGGAATACTATTGTGCCATAAGAAATGATGAACAGGCTGACTTCAGAAAAACCTGGGAAGACTTATACGGTCTGATGCTGAGTGAAGTGAGCAGAACCAAGAGGACTTTGTACACAATAGCAGCCATGTTATGCAATGACTAAATGTTAAACTGAACCC